TCCCCTGCTAAGTACAGTGTACTATAGTAGGGCCTAGGTCATTGAATTGTTTTCATTTCTTTCTGTGATTAAGGCATAATCCCTACGGCTAAAATAAGACTAATAGTAGGCCTAGACCTATATTATTTACTCTGTGTAGGCCCCTGTCTCTTATACACATCTAGATGTGTATAAGAGACAGGTGTATGCCTATTAACAACTTGTTATTTTGACTATACTTTAACTTGAAGAGTGTCACAGATACAAACGTGTATAGCTTTAAAATATAATTATACTATTATCAACCAAGAAAAACAAGCTTCAAACATTGCAGAGTTCACGTATAATTACACTCACAGATGACAAATATGCGCCTCTCAACCAACCAAAATATAAATCATGTTAAAAAAACATTTTTTGATTGGTCAGATAGTAGATAGGTTGTAAATAAACGTAATGCAGCAAAAAAATCAATAATAAACATTGATAATTTTAACCTGATAACTTGATTACTTTTCTGATTCTCTTCGAAGGAAAAGTGAGAATAAGATAGAAAGAAGACTATTAACAAATCAGAAAGTTATTTGCACCAGACTTTGGTAATACTGAGGGTGGTGTCAAAACGATTTTGGCACACATCCCCAAGCATACATCCAGCCTAAAACCTTTTAAATTTGCCTAGTAACCGCCGTTAAAATAAATAGGCCCATGTGGCGTACAATTCACTTCGCCGCCCGCCCCAGCCCAGGAATGTAAAGTGTCGGGCGATGATACACTGATGGTGCCCAAATACGGACACTGTACAATATGTGTTATTATTACGTATTGCATTTGTATACGGTGGCAGAAAATGTAATTAATTATTCAATGTGGATTAAGAAATCAGAATAAAGATGTAGGCCTATTTTCAGTCAAGGCTTAAAATCAGTTTATCTTCTCGCTAACTTTTATTGCGAAAGTCGTAAACTACTTCACCTATCCATTGTTTGAACAGTTAATAAAACGTAAGGTCAGTGATGAGTATAATACTTGTATCATAAAATAATAGTTTCGAGAGACTTGTAAAATCAGCTGTATAAGATCTGTTTACAATAATCTAAAGTTAAGTATCGAAGATTCGGAATTTGGGCATGTTAGTCACTAGGTTTAAGATCATTTTCAAAAATGGTCATTGCTTGATACCGACTCCAAAGTAATAAAAACATTTATATTGAATAACAAACAGCTTTCAACTAGTACTGGTAGGTAGGATACATATAAAACGTAATTAACTATAAAACTCTTTCAATATGGATCGTAAAGTAGTAGAAGGCTAGTCTGTAAACGACAATATCAACTCACTCGTGGACAGACATACAAATAGCATGGCTGTAAGTCAAATAATGTCCATTTTATTGATATTAAGCTTACTGATCTGCATTTTTCAAGATGTGGTGTGTTTAGGCTATAATGGCACAGACGTTAACGGTGAGTTCACTCCCTTTCTTTCTATTGGCATCTAGATGCTCGATAAATTGATGTTATTAAAATAGGAATTCAATGATCATTTTTATCATTACTCCTAAAATGTGCCGAACGAATTACGTCTATGCTAATATATTTTAGGATCAATTGTGTAATACATATCAGATTTTTATGGCGGTACCAATATGCAAAATTAGTTCAACTGTTATATTTAAATAGGTAGGCTCTATTTTAGTGTTCGAATAAAGTTTCTAATTCCACCTCAGAACTTTTTTTTCCCGTTTTCTAAAAATTCCCGTATTAAACATATGTGGGAAAAGACAGACGCCCAAATTCTGTACCAAAATTATGACTTGAATAGTCTTGAATTATTATATGAAATTGACCTGACTTTTGTTATGACACTTCACATAATAATTTGGCAGATAAAATCTCAAATGGTCCATGAAGACCGAAAGGTACCGTAAAACTAAACTGAAAAATAAGAAATGAATTGTTGAGTGTGGAAGACACAATTAGCCGAAGGCGGGTTGAAATTTGTGCCTTTAGGTAAAAAAAATGAAAGAACTAAAAATCGAAGTATGGAAAACAGGTTAGAAATACCTTCTTATTGGCTAACTGAAATATTAAGATGAAGTACTTATACAGGAATAAATAATTGAAGAAGTATGAGGAAGATCTCATGATATAATCAGGGAACAGTGAAATTACACTGTTCTCTGATATATGACTTATGTATAGTTATAATTTAAGTACATTAGATGTAAAACTCATCTAATTGGTTTTCAAACTAAGCATCAACAAGTCTGTCTGATGTTTATTTCGAATACGTAAGGTATTTAGCGAATGAAGCAATTTTTGTGTATGCAAGGTTCTGGAAGCTTTTATTGGGTGTTTATGGGACAATAATTGTTGATTTTTAACGTTCCCAAGTAACACTGTGTGGTTTTCCCAACGGCTGTGTTCCACGTAATGTAAACAAAAGTGCATGTCTCAACTTATCAGCATTCCAACTTTTACTTTTAAACGTTTTATGATAATTTTAACAATTACTCTGTGATATTATTTTTTTTTTATTTTTTTTTATTTTTTCTTTAGTTACGGATAGCCCCTTTGTTGTTGACTACTGCGAACAAAGCTGCGATTTGACTTCTAGGGCGTGTAAGTGTGACGATAAGTGCCTAACATACGGAGATTGTTGCAAAAAAAAATATGGTACCTTCACCAATATAGAAATATTGGAAACGGAAAAATCTACAGAAACGTGTACAGAAGTATCCGGTTATTTTTACTTCATCGTTCGCAATTGTTCTTACTCGTGGGACGACATTCATTTGCGAGAACTTTGTGAACTTAATGATAATATACATGATATTATACTCGACGTACCCGTGTATGACCGTGCAGCGAATCATTATAAAAACATTGCATGTGCATTGTGCAATGACATCCAATTAGATGATATACTGGCATGGGATGTTATTAATACCGATACTAATTATTCATCAGAGACCGGTTCAATTGTTTCCGACTTTGAGGCAAAAGACAGTGGAATTTCTAGTCCAATATACACCTACATGCCACTAAGTGCACCAGAAAACCTCATGCCTAGGTCCTGTGATGATCGAATAATTATTAATAAATGCAAAATTGAATCCAACACTTGTCCAGATTATTTTTCGCCTGTTACGTTTGACGGTTTATCGGAATCATATATTTATAAAAAATCCGGACTGTGCAGCTTGCAATGGTTTTGATTTCAACTATGCAAGCACCTGTAGGCCTATAGAAACGTTTTTTAATGCTATCTCAGATACTTCAATAAAGGATTTGATACGTGTATTTACCAAATATAATGAAAACGAAATAGACACACACTCCGTCACATGCGATGAAGGTGAAGTTTTTGATTCAAATCAACAAACATGCGTCTTGTTGTTGTGTTCAGAAGGGCTTGAGCTTGTTGAGAATCAATGTGTTCTTTTAACTTGCCCTGCCTGGGTTCTACAAATCAATGTCAGCTCTAGCATGGATCAAAATTCTAACTTCAAAAGCAGTATGAAATGTCTTCGTCAGTATTTTAAGTTCGCTCTTTCACACGAATTGTCACTACTAACTTTTGCAGAAAACGATAAATTTCAACAGTTTCAATTCGAAGTACGAATCAGCCTAGATTACTCATTGTTACATAGTTATCTCTCATATTTATTTAAACTTAATGTGCAGGAGAAACTTTGTAATGTGACATCTATGGAAGTTGATCAGTTTTGCGATTATTACGGTAAACCAGATAATTGCAGTAAGGATGGAATTGACGTCCGCAACTTGTTCTACGCAAATATTGGTAACCAGACAATAATCTACATAAACCAATCTCAGTCCTTTCTTTCACTAGATAGCTTCATCTTCAGGTATCGGTATGCAGAAGACGGGGACGGCTCTAATTTCACTACTCAGCTATTTCTATGTTCACAAGATAATGACTTTAGCTTATCTTGTCCGTTCATACTCGACGACTTGAAGAATTACATTATACTAAATAATACTTTAAAACACATTGAGTCGGAAAGTATTTACGGATCTGACAACTACGAGTTGATTGACAACAAAACTGTTAAGATTTGTTCCACATTTAGTCAGTCGGGAACTGTGGCCACTGTTAATTATTTTGTGAAGTACGACGCTGTCCAAACTATATTAAGCTATGTTGGATGCATACTATCTCTTGTCAGTCTCGCTTTAACTCTTCTTGTCTATTGCTTATTGCCATCTCTTAGAACGTTGCCAGGAAAGGCAGTCATGAGTGTTACCATTTCATTATTCTGTGCCCAATTTCTTCTCAACTTTGGAGCTGGCCAAACTAACATTACTGAACTATGTAAGGTAATCGCAATTGCAATGCATTTCTTTTGGTTGGCTTCATTCTTTTGGATGAGCGTTTTAGCTTATGACGTGAGCAAGACGTTTAACAAGAAAACTTATGATCGAAGTAAAGGCAAAAGATGGAAAACGTTTGTAAAGTACTCTATTGTCGCATGGGGTTTACCGTTTGTTATAGTCGCAGTATGTGTGACGTTGTCGATGAGGGTGACAAGTCTTCACTTCGAGTATGGATCGACGTCTATCTGTTGGATCAGTGATGCCATAATCAGCCTGATTATTTTTGGTGGTCCAGTGATCCTGATACTTTTAGTGAATATTGTGTTCTTCGGATTAACAGTGCACGGTGTTCGAGATACGATGAAGACCGCTAGCATTATACAAGGTTCAAAGTCGTCATCATCAAAAATGTCGGAATTAAAGATATACTTCAAGGTTAGGCAATATCTATAATAATAATAATTATTATTGTTATTTAATGAAATAAACAATAAAGTCTTATATCTGATTTTATGAATTACCTCATATGTTCTTCGCCCCAATATGATTGCAAACATGTGCACGTCATTGTTTTTAAATATATTGAAAATTATATTGTTTTAAAAAGATGTATACGCATAACAATTTGCATGTATTTGCGTTTGGTGTGATATCGGCCTTAAATCTTTGATTTAATTTCAATTATAAATTTTATTTTATAATATTTTTTATTTTTTTTAATTTTACTTAATTTTAAGGAAGTAGTTAGTCTTACGGTATTCAATAAGGTAGCAAGTCTGAAGGCTGATTGGTAAGAACCCCCTTACATCTTCTTAGATTTAATTTCAATTATAAATTTTAATTTATAATATATATTTTTTTATTTTAATTAATTTTAAATTAGTTATTCTTACGGTATTCATTAGTACAATAAGATAGCAAGACTGAAGGCTGATTGGTAAGAAGCAGTAAGATTTTGCCCAGGCTCAGTGTTCTAATATCTTTTTTCCAATTTTAGGCTCAAACTGTTCTTATTTTGATCTTATTTTTACACACTTTGCAAACATACAACGTTATTATTCCACGGTGACAGCACAGTATATTACTGTATTATAGGATATTAACATGAAACGTATTCCCAACGGTATTAAATAGTCACTTTATTCCTCTGTTATATCATAATTTAAAGATGATGGTAATAATAATAATAATAATAATAATAATGTTTTGTTAATAACTAAAAAGACGTAGATAAAAAGAGGAATGTAAATAATTGTTATTACTTCCGCACTTGATTTATTAAAGATTTAATAAAAGAAATGGTGTAAATCTTGAGATGTATTCCTTGTATTTAAATTCTTGTTTATTTAACGCGTGGGGGCGAGTACGGGGGAAATCTGGGGTGTAATGTCACAGGTGGAAATGTCCTGGGAGGGGGAATACCGGGGAAAATGTCCAGGGTAAACCAGCCTAGAGACCGGGTGGAGAGGATACGGGTGAAAACACCACCCTAGGGGGTCTGTGGGCATAGCCCCGCGAAATTTTGTTTTTCTAGACAGCCGGAAAGAATCTCTGGGGCGTTTCTTTCTCTCTCTCTTTTTTATTTTCTTTCCCTTTTCAAGGTATTTTTTAATTTCCATCTTAAGGCCAGCTTTAAGTATTTTCTTACGATTTCTTTCTTCTGAACGGTTCTTGTGAAATTGATAGAAGATAGGAATGACCAAGGGAATGAAAACAAAAGGGATAGAACTAACCTCCGTGTTTATGTTAGTCATTGAACCAATAGATTTCATTGTATAAAGTCCAATATATATTATAATACCACATATGAATAACCTAGAAAAGATACGTACAATCTCAGGGCCATGAGGCTTGTAAATGTTTACAATATCATCAAATAACTCCTTTTTAATGTACGTTAGACCACTACTCTTATCAAATTTGTAATGGGTAGGTTGCAATTTTTCATCTTTTGTGGTCGAAGAACTCTGTCCAGTGCAACCTACAGGACTACTAAAGATATTATCAAATGCCGTTTTTCTTTCTGATTCACATCTATCTTCATCCACTAACCTTATGACCTGTCTAAGCAATTTGCTGTAACCATCGTAATATTCGGTTATAGTTGTGCACATATAGCCAGCAATGACGAATATCACCAAAACAAAATTGAAAATAATGGCAGAGTTTATCATAAGACCCACAAAAAAGTAATGTAAAATATCCAAAAAGTATATTAATATATTATACAATTGAAATATCAGTAATGAGTACCACAACATAAATATAATATAAAATACAGCTTTCAATCCTTTATGGTTTGGTGCACAGAAATGTATAGCACTCCAAATAGTAATAGTAATTGGCATATAATGAAAGAACATCCAAAAACATTTTAGTAAAATACAGAATATGGTTAATATGCAATAGTATCCACTGTTGGCATGCGTGTTATCCCAAATTTCATTCCAAAAATTCAAGCTGAAAAATCTTTTTTTTATTTCTTTAATTATGCAAATCAATTTTTCTAACTCACTCAACTTACATTTCTCACTGAATTGATTTTCATTATCAGATTTGGAAAAATATTCGGGCTTGTCTTTTTTTATAGCCTTAAGTAACGGTATGTTATAAATCTGTTCACCATCACGAACAGTGTTCAAGTATTCATGTGATATACCTTCTTCCGTTTTCCATATATACACGTACCGTATTGATAAAGGAATAAATAACAAATAACATACTACTCCATAAACAATATCCCATAGGCCTTCCCCTATTTCTTTGATTATGAAATTATCTTGGTCTATATGTGCTATTATTATTGGAAAAAATTGAGAAACGTAAAATACAGTTAAACACAGAAAGCAACGAATCCAATATATTTTAGCAGTTCCCGTTTTACAAGTCCCCGCCTTAGCAGTCCCTGCCTTATGGGTCTTTGCATTGCCCAGGAAAAGTATAAAGTATGTTGGGCCTAAAGGAAGATCTGTGTCTAGGCTAATGTACTGCTTTCCTTCATGAGTTATTGGATTTTTCCGGCAAAGAAACCTTAAAATATATAAAAAGATATATTGTGCTAGAATGTAGGACCCAAAGGCCAAAATAAATATAGAAGTGTACATTGATGTCTCAGAATAATTATTTAAGGGAACCATTCGCCAACAATCAAAATATGTATTATATTTTAAATTATAGTAATTACGTAAAAAAATCCGCAAGTTATTAGACGAGAGTTTCTTCTCCAAGCAAACCGCATAGTCTGTGTGTAACTCTATGCTCCCATTTTTTGATGAAAATCGTGCCATCGATGTTGCAATTATATCTAGCTTTTCATCATCAGAAGCATTCAAAAAACAGTATGAGGACCAAGCAACACTCAGTGAAACTGTTTTCACACCAGGGGCAAGAGTACCGAAGGAAAGATACACGGCATCAAACGTGTATGTTGATAATAGAACTCCTTTGGGTCCATTGGTTAAGACCCAATGTCTTATATTGATAATCGCACCAGTGTCATTCAGGATTTTGTCACCGGTTGAATTTACAAAGTTTAGGATCAAGTTGATAAATACATTTTCATCTTTTTGAATAACTTCCAGTGCCTCAGCTCCTTCGATATCAAGATAGCAGTTGTTGTTAGCTGGGAATGGTCTGTCAACGACGCCACGAGATGACACAATACACAGAAAGTGGATTAATACTTCAAGCATCAAAATGATGTTTACCGCAGATCTTGTCATGATATCAATCAAGTTACTGCAATATGTGACTGTAGATTAAAAAAAAAATCAAAGATAGTACAGAGATAGAATAGAAGCAGAGATAGTATTATGCAAGAGCATAACATACATTTAAGTAATGTACGTGGGAAAATATATTCTGTAATTGGGACTGGAATGAACAGATACCGTACTTCATTATAAGAAATGTAACACGTGAAGCGATCAACCCTAAATCGTCTTTCTGTAATGCTTTGTACATAAATTATATATTTCTTATAATAAAGTATGTCTTCGAAGATTTTGTCTTGTCATTTAAGATGCTTAAGAAGAAGGTATATCACATTTATTTATTATTTATCGTGTGCCCGTCAAATACTCGTGTTGTTTAGCATACCGTATAGTGCGAAATGAATTGCCTTCAATCGGATTCGAATTTCCAACGAAAGTCTTAATGGCCCAGTTGGTTAAGGCGTTTGCATTGGCAGTAGAATATCCCGGGTTGGAGTCCCGGTTGGACCATTTTTGTTCGCACTCGCACATTTCTCTTCTTTACATATATCGTACGAAGTATTACCGCAAGACGATTTTGATTTTGTCTCTTCACATGTTTCATACATTATAATATATTTTGGATTGCAACCTTGATGTGGTCGGGGTGCTTGTGTGTCTCAGTGACCTCTAGAGCTATGCCAGCAGGAGAATCTCTGGTAGGGCCACCCACGCTGGACAGGTCGAAGGAGACAGATGAGACAAAGAGCAATCCACTTGCCATCCAGGTTGGGGGTTGAGCACAGGGCTAACAACCCTGTCTCGTAAAATATTTTTTGTTACTGAAACAGTACTCGAAGGAATTAAAAGTACTGGGTGAGAGTGATGGACTTCCAGGGCTATCGTCAGATGCTAGGATGAATGTCAATGGTGAAAGCCAAAAAGAAGCCACTGAAATAAAGATAGAAGTTCGAATGCCAAACAGAAGACTATGATATGTTTTTGGAATGTACGTGCAATCAGTGGCGTATCCAAGTGGGGCGTGGGGAAGCGCACGCCCCCCCCCCCCCACAAA